GGGAACAATTGATTTAATTATATCAACTGTGTGTTTAAAATTTTAATGTCAGCATTATTTCAAATTCTAAATTAACCTTCTGTAACCTGGTACTTAAGGATATATGAATCCTTGAGGGTTATTTCTATTAGACTAACAGAGGATTTACAGACTGGTCCTATCCATGTTTGTTCGAGCCAGTCACATGGACAGATTTGACCTCTACACCAAGAGCAGTTTTTCCTTATGGATAACCAATGCAAAATCTTAGGGATTCTACTAAACATGGCACACGCTGGACTCCTTTTGTGTTCCAGCAGCATGGACAGAGAGAGAAAAAAAACATCCTGCTGATTATGATGAGGATGACTTGCAAGTAGTGATTTGAAGATATAAAACAAAGTAACTTTTTCCTGTATTCCAGGTCAGATAAAATCACAAACATAGAGATTAAATCACAAACACAATTCCTCAATCTAATGTATGTCATGATTTCATGGTGTTCTCTAACAATTCATCACATTTCCTCAACACCTTGTGAGGGGTAAGTAGAATAAGACTTTATGTTTGCCTGAGCAGTTTGGCAGAAAGAGGTAACAGAATTAATTTAAAAATAATTTACTGGACAAGAAACTTGAGTTTATCCAAGTAATCCCTTCCTAGGGGCTATCTTTGCTCATCTCTGGCCAAAAAATCAACCACTGATCTTGTGTAGTTCTATATTTAATATTATTATACAGATCTTTAAATTTGGGTTGAAATCGTAGTAATGGGGGCAGAGGAAAATGAAATGCAGAAAATTAAGAGAGTAATAATTGCCTTCTTAGTGAGGCCATTCACAAATAGTGAAACTTCACTGAATTAGTTCTGTTTAAGCAACAAGAGTGCAAAGCTGAAAATCTTGACGAATACTGGTTCAACTATTTCATGCTGACATTTGTCTTTGATATTTCTTTGTTCAAGAATGGTCACCTTAAGATGAGTGACAGAGCATACTGGGAGTCTGAAATATACCTCTCCCACGATTTCCTACTATTACTATTTCTGTTACCAATTTTATGTCTATTTATTATGATGCACATGAGCTGGCTTGTTTGACCTGAATAGAAGATACCAAGATACTGCTACAAATGATATATGTTAATTATGGCACATGGAAGATGAATAGTTCTTGCATGCAAAATGTATTGCTTCTGGCACATATCTGTTATATTAGTTTATATAAAAATATAAACAAAAATTCCTTGCTCATGAGCCATAAATTCATTCCTTGCTAGTTCCTGAAATGTTTTATCATTGGTATATTCTGATTTTAACTGTTATGAATATTGTAGCTTGTATCTGCTTGTTAGCTATTGAACTGCTCATATTGCACATTTTTATTATATGATAGTGCTGCTTTCCTTCGATTGCACTTTTTGTATATTCTTTGGGCTTCCTTTGAAAGAAAAAGTAGTATACAAATATTAACATTTCACATATTGTTATCACTGTAATTCTTATAGCTACCCTAGAAGGTTTATTATTCTTGCCTTCAATGATGTGATTAACTCAAAATCTGAAATAAAACAGAAATATGTGCAGGTGAACAAAGATAAACATAAAAACAGCAAATAGCTGCACTTTCACTGATGTCCAAGTAGAAGAAAAAAAAATCTACTACATGGAGAGCACTGAACATCTAAATATGAAAGCGAATGAAAAACCTTTGTAAGAGAATGAAAAAGTATCATCTAATATTTTTAGATCTTTTACATGCTTGAAAAAATTCAATCTAGGGAGATAAGTAGTATTTATTTATACACATACCTTTATATATACTAAAAATCTTAATACCACTATGCAGGATGTAGAATGATTAACCAGGTCTATGCAAACAATAGGGTTTTTTTAATTAATGAAATTATAGGTAATTGAAACCTTACAGTAATATAGCCTGAATTCAAGGGAAGACAAGGATAACGAACCATGCCTTGATACAGGAGCACCCATTAAAAATCCACAAAAATGGGAAAAAGGAGATAATCTCAGCATAGCCTACTTTCTTTATAGACACTCAGAAATAAGGTCCCAAGGATGATAGTTCTGATTCTAGGATAAAGTAGGCTCTCCGTCTTTCAGAAGTTCTAAAAGTTCCTCTATAGTTAGAGAACTGGCTGTGAGACATTATTCAGTAGTAACAGCAATGGGACATCATCTACATCAGGGAGCCAGTTAGCATCCAGATTTGCTGCCAAAACACTTTGGTGACACTATGTACTTCACTGCAACAATGTTTGCATATATTTCTTAAGCTCTATGGAAACAGTGTTAGCATATAGTGTCACAGAGGACTTATCCTTGACTCCCTGACAAAAAATCTTTTACATAGAGTTACAATATTGCTTTGAAATTCAATTCAGTAGGCATATGAAATGAACATGGGTGCTATGTACATAATAAATCAATCAGTTTAAGACACAAGCATGTGGTAGAACTCCTACAAAGGAGTTTTATCTGATGGGACCCAGGAGGAAAGCCTTTTCTGCCATGGCACCCGCTCTTTGGGACATCATCTACCCTGAGGTCAGATTGGCCCCAATCCTGCTGGCCTTTAGGAGTTCCCTGAAGACAGGAGTGTGCTATCAAGCCTGGGGATCCTGTGGAGGTATGGAGCCTGCGAGATGGCTGTATTGTTTGTAAGCTGCTGGTTGGCGCTCTCTTGCACTTTGTTTCTGGTTAATTTGTTTTAATTGTTTTAATTTTTAATTTTTTATTGACATGAGTTTTGTTTTTGTTGTTTTAACTTGTGAGTTGCCCAGAGTCACATATGTGAGATGGGCAGCTGTATAAATTGAATGAAATAAAATAAAATATAATAAAATAATCACCAAGAATGTGAACCAGCAAATAGCCCAGAGTCATTTGGAGTTGGGGGGCACCAAATCAATCAATCAGTCAATCAATAGCTAATACAAAGCAGAAAGTAAGCTAGAAAGGTTCAAAAGCTAATGGAAACCAGACTCATAAGGGAAGCTGACAGCAATGAAATAGGCTCTTTTTTGTTATGTCAGTAATAAAAAAAGAGGAAAAAGGAAAGGATGGGCTCACTGCTAGGAGATTAGGACAGTAACAGGTGACAGGAAGAGGGCAGATCACCAGATCTTCCAAAAAAACCCCTTTTTGCTTAGGGTTTTGTTTTGTTTTTTGCTTAGGTCTTCTCCCCAAAGGGGAGTTATGTTTAAATGGACCTAAGCAGAACAACTGACACAAGGTGGCAACCCTAGGTAAGGAAATAAATGATTAGGGAGCACTTAAGTACCATGAATAAATTTAAATCTCCAGAACCTCATCAAATATATCCAAGAATCTTGAAGGAGCTTGCAGATGCCATCTTGAAATCCCTTTCTATGATCTTTAAGAAGGAGGCCAAATGTTGCTTGTCTTCAAAAAGCGGGAGAAAGAGGATCCAGGTAAGTAAAGACCAGTAATCTTGAGGCTTATTCCAGGGAAATCTCTGGAACAGATTATTAAGCAATTGGTTTGCAAGCATTTGGGAAAGAATGCATTGCTTGCAGGCATCAGCAACAGTTTATCAAGAGCAAGTCATGCCAAATCTTTTCTATTTTTATGGAGAGTTGATTTCAGCAAAGCATTTGACAAATTCTCCTATGAGATCCTAGCAGAGAAGATGGCAAAATGTGGGCTGGATTGTGTTACCATTAGATGGATACAAAACTAGTTGAATAACAAGTGTATATCAATGATGGAAGGGATTTGTTTGCTTCTCTTTTAATTTTCTTCCCTTTTCTGCAGGGTCCTGATCCTCCATGGTCTCAAATTCCATGACAAAACTCCAAACAACCACTTAATGGCAGTGAAGAGTTAAAATGTTCTTTATCTCTTTGCTGCCACCTAGAATCACTCTTTTGCTACCTAGCCCACAGGAGCATTTGAGAAAAGAAGAAGGAAAAGCCAGTTGGTGTGCTCTAAAAAGTAGTAATAGTGTAGATGAAAGTAGCAAGAAGGGGGGGGGCATGGGAGAGGGGAAGTGACCGTGCAATACTGGAGCTTTTGATTTTATGAGAATTATAGTCAACAAAGCATCTTCAGCTTCAAAAAAAGCCGTTTTTAATAAATACAGATGAATGAAAAATTCCACAGTAGAAGAAACTAACGGAAAAAGGAACTTAAAATGAGAGGGAGTTCCTATGGAAGGAGATATTAAAACAAGGCTTGCAAACAGTTCCAATGAGGAGAAAAATCAAGACAACAAAAGAAAACAATATGGCTACATAATAAGTTTAAAGAACATATGGAAACAGAAAAGGATACATATAAAGGAAACAGAAAAAGGACAAGATTATAAAGGAAAAGTATAGATAATTAGCCTGGAACTACCAGATTGATTTCAGGAAAAACAAAACTTAGAACAATCTGGTGTTAGCAAAGGATGCTAAGAATACAAAAAGGGCTTATTTTGATATTGACAAAATGAAAGGAAAATTAGGGGTGTAACAGCTGCTCAATTTCTGGTTACTTTTTAATATTTTCATTCAGAGTTTGTTTTTTATGTTTTATGTCGATATTTGGATCTTTGAAACTTGAGCTGCTCAGTGAAGAAGACAAAATGCTACCAGGTCACAAAGAAAAGGCAAAGCTACTCAATTCCTGGTTTTGTTTAGTCTTTTCCAACAAAAACTATCTGTTCCACTAAGAAACAGTGTATAGAGCAGGATGAAGTGGTAATTTGGAAGCTTAAGATGGACAGAAACACAGCAGTCATGTGTTGTTGTTCACCTGAGGTTGCATTTACCTACTTTTGAGAACTGCTAAAGACCAGATGATTTTTATTATGTCCTGATACGTAAAACCATAGAACTCAAAAAGGGTGTACTTTCTTTTTCACACAACTGTATATATTATATCATATTTTTTTTTGATCAGGTAATTTTCTTAATACATTTTGTGAATGCTGTACACATAGTATACTATGTCAGTAAAACCCAGATTTCCAAACACAATTTGAACCTATAACCTACCTCAAATGTCCCAAGTTATAATAGTGTGATTCTCCATCTGTGGATCGAACCACCTTGACTGTGAACGTTGGTTGCAGCTGTCTCAGTTCCAGCACCACAATAGCAAGATAGTGAACAAAAAGCAGGGCATCCACTAGTGACACAGCAAACTGCACAACTCCCTGGTAACTGATGTCTTTAGATTCCGAAATGCGAATACCATAGAAGAGCCAGTAGGAAAAGAGTAGTAGAAATATGAGGATCAAAATGAGGGTGTGGAATACAAGCATGCGTGGGAGGTTAGCCTTGGGCTGCCGAAAAAACAGAGCCCAGGCACCAATCAAGAGGATCAGGAGTTTGAAAGCCACAGAGATAAAAAGTCCTTCACAAGCCGTGCCACATGACTCTAACTCACTTCTCCACAGGATCTGTGGAAGCAGAATAAAGGCAATTGGAGTAAGGAAAACAAGAAGTCCCAGGACCGCTGCCACAGTTAAGATGAGATGGCGTTTGTGGTCTAGGCTACCGCTGTCCTCCAAGTCCTTGCTTATCTTGGCAATATTCTCCTGGGACACACTGTGTTCTGAAGTACCTGTAATGGCTGTTGTTGTTTCACCCCAATTGTCATCCTGAAAAAAAAATTACTGGGTCATTTCAACTCCAGATCATTAGGACACTTTCAGATGTCTTCAGTTCAGTGCTTCCAATCCCATAATGCAAATGTTTTAGCATTTGAGTGTACATGGCTGCTAAGGACTAAGGAAAGCTATATAATCTGCACATATGGCTCTCCACACTGAGGAGAACAACCTGGAGAAAATGACATTTAAATTTCCAGAAAATGTTTTTCAAATTTCTTAGAAGTCCAGCACCACATTTGCCAGTTGGGATTATAGACAGCTGCATAATTTCCCTCCCTCATCCCTCAGTATTTTGAGGTTTTAAGAAAATATTATCACTAAGCTTTCCTAAACATTAGTTCCTACCCAAGAATCAGGAGGGATATTTAAGAAACTGCAAAAGTAATTTGTCTGTTGAATTTTTTAAAAATAATGTAGTATAGTTAATGTGTACAACTATTTTTCAAAGAAGCTGCACTCTATACAGAAATGCTGAAAATGGCACACACTGGGCACAGAACTTTCCAAGCCGAGTTAGAAAGCATACATGAAGTTTATTATTATATTTTGTTCCAATCTACATCACTCTGCCCTTATTTTAAATTGCTTCTGCCATTCTTTTGGTTTGTTGTAAAGGCTATAGAGAATGATTCTCTATACACATATTCATTCCCGGCAAGATATGATCTAGACCCTACTGTTTAAAATGTATAATACACCATTTTCTTTTTGTATGGGCGTACCAAGATGCAGGAGGTGAAAGATATCTCAGGAACTGAAATAGTTTTAAACTATACTGTTTCAGGAATTACTACTATTACATGTATCTTCTTTCAGTCTACATGACTGAAAGGAAAGGAAATGTTTACTCTTCTCAATGAGTAAGTGTCTTTTCTTAGAAATGAGTTATAATTGAACCCAGCCCTTGTTGTGGTAACAGAAAGAGCTACCAACATCATGATAAATCATCCTGATCATCTTTGTTTTGCACCTATTGGATGTTTGCAGGAATAAAGCTACATAAATCATGACTTGGGGCAAGACAACCCAAAGTATGGGGACAATGAGTAAAATGGCAGTTTGGGTGATTTTAAATTATTTTAAAATTTAATAATTTTAAATTATTAAAATTATTATTAAAATTTAATACTTTTAAAAAGCCTCAAAATACTGAAGAAACCCTCCAACACTGCTCCAAAACTATACATTTGATTAAGAATACTCCACTGTCAACTATACATCAATTACTAGAAATTGGTATGTGTAGAACTCTGAAACAGAGGTGACTCAGTCAGGGTTGCTTTTCCTCAACTAGCTAAAATAGTCAAATCTGAGACTGAAATATTATTAACTCAAGGTTTCTTTTCTATTAAGGTAATGAGGGTGTCTTGTACCATACTCCACATATCTTTTCTCCTCAACAGAAGGGAATACTTTGACATTTTTGTTTGGAATGATAACTGTACTCACATGTAAACGTTTAATGTTCATCTAAAGGTAAAGTTGAGCTTGATTCCTGGTGAATTCAGGGACATGTCCATACAATTTTACTGGCAACATTAAAGGGGATGGTTTGTCATTTACTTTTACTGGAATTTTTTTTTTTTTTTTACTTCCCAGTCTAACCTACAGTCCTGGCATTTCTTGGTGGATCTCATCCTAATACTAACAAGGTCTGACTCTGCTTAGTTTTTCTAAGATCAGCCAAGGTCAGCTAGGTGCTGCCACTAGCTTGGGATTAATTCATATTGCCTAAACTCTAATTTTTCTCAATGCTACTCTAGAGCAGAATAGTGTAATTTTTTTCCAAAAGTTTTTTTTTCAGTAGCTCCAGATAGCATGGCCAATGATAAGAAATATTGGGAGCTGATGATCAATCACATCTGGAGGCCCACAGGTTCCCAGCCTCGTTCACCCATGAATTTATAGGATAATTCAATTTGTTTTTTCATTCATAAGACATAACTCTGCAAACATGCCTTATAGTCAGAATAAACAAGATAGAAAAGGAAAATGACATCTATCAATATATTTACCTTGTTGGTATCAAGTTGTGCTGAATATTCAGAAGATTGCAGCTTCTATGCAAGCAACAAGCAGTCCATTCACTCAGATAACAGCCAAAACATACTTTTCACATTTCTGCCATTTAGAGTACAGTTACTTGTGTCAAAAACAACTCAAGTTACATCCAGGCATTGAAGAATTAGTGAAAAGCATCTGAGCGCAGTTAAATAGTGTGACTTCCGGTGTAGGAATGAACAACTAGCAAGAGTACTGTGATTGTTATTGTCTGTCATGGCCACCTTAGACTCAAAGCAGCCAGCTCTGGATGTACTAGGTAAATGTCAGCGTCAGGAGACAGTAAGCAATCTAGTTCCCGAGGCTGACCTCACCAGCAGCTGCACCCATGGCCAGATAACAAGGACCAGAATCCTGGCGACTGCCCAGCCCTTAAGCACATGTGCTCAGGGCTGAGCAGAGCAAAGGGGGTCTAGGAGTCTTCTTGCCCAGCAAGGGCATCCCTAGCCTTACTTAATTGGCTCTAAGCTGGCAGAGGCTCTACTGAAGAGTCACCATTGGCTGACAAGAGTCTGTTAGGAACAACTGTTCTACCTACACTCCGTGTGCTCAAAACCTTCCTTGAATCTCTTCCCGCCTTAAACTGTAGCTTTGAATCTGGATTGGCTGATGATCTATCCATAATGCCTAGGCCTTTAGACTGTTACCTGGCAATCTTTCCATGTGCTGCTTTAGAGTCTTGCTGTTTGAAACTTGTTTGCAGGCAAGTTCATGTGTGATTGGGACTTTGCTGAGACATGAGTGTGCTTGCACACATCCTGTGCCTGCCACTACCTGGACTTGTTTAACCAGAAGTAAAGCCTTAGCAACCTAACTTCTCTGCATATGGTAGGCCAGGAACAGGACACTGCTGATTACAGGCATGCCAGAAAGACTATTGAGAGTTGCCACACACTTATAACAGTATTAGATGTTTGCAGTATACCATGTCCAGATATTCACCACAGCAAAACCTTGCACTCGCACTCACACCCAGGACTCAACCCACTTTTCACTCTTCTTACTTGTATTTCATCTGCTCGGGAAGAATCATTCTCCAACAAGGAGTCTCCAGGTGGGGTCTGGATAGTAACAGATTTCTCTGAATGACTGCCAACTTTATTCCATGGTGATTTCTGCCTGTCCCAGCCCCTTGAAAAGAGAAATAACATTTTCACAAGCTGATTGTTCTGTTGTTCAGGAAAGCCTAATCCTAACAATTCCAGTAGTTGCTGAAGAACAGAGACAACATCTGAACAGGTAACTCTCTTCCCACACATTGTCTGAAGCTTTACCCTTTGAAGAAGGGCTCTTTCCAGTTCAGCATTTGGTGCTTGGTGTTTCTAGACACTTAGTGACAGCAGCTGTCTTTTCACTTGAAGCCTCCACAAAGTGAATCCAGTAACTAGGAGCTACTGGAGCTACTGAGCTCCTTATGCAAACATGGAATACAATTGAAAAGGATAAAGGCTATAGCTTTTTTTAACAATGAAAGTTATTAAATATTAAAGAAAAATATTCTGAAGTCTTGCCACACTCAATCTAGTTGCCAGGAGAAAATAAAATTAAAGGCTTCTAAAGAAGTAATCTTTATACTGTTTATACTATCATTATAGTTTTTTTTTAAAGCAGATTATTGTTAAATACAATGTGTCCTAAACTCACAGTACACATGATACAGTATTTTGCAGATTAATACTGGAGCACATGGACACTCTAGACTATCTATCTATCTATCTATCTATCTATCTATCTATCTATCTATCTATCTATCTATCTATCTATCTA